CTTCATCGGATACGTCAAGTTACATTTATCAACCATATAGCCCTTCTTCTCAACCATCACGTATCTACGTGCCACACATCCGTACCATTTCGTGCATTCCCGAAACCAACCCGAGCCACAACCCGGACCACTTTCTCATAGGGCTATTGGCCGAAAATTAAAGTATTATCCAGTCTTAATCCATTGCTTTTTACTGGACAGTTCGGACACTGGACACTAGACAGATTTCCGATTGTCCAATTGTCCAGTTGCCCAACCTTGAATCGTTATCATAATGAGATAAATTGGATACAAAAATCATTCAAATTTGAACAATATTTCACATGTATTAATTTTTATAACAATTTTAGCTTTGTTAAATTTTTTATTACTGTAATAGTAATAGAGTCAGACTACAAGAGGCTGCATATGATAAATTCATGCAGTTCGTATTTTAATTTTTGATAAGATTCAATAAACTATTTAGACGCCACCCCGTATGAATCGACTAACAATAATGTATATATCGATAAATTTTTATTGGAAATTAGAAACTACTTAGTAACGTTCATTGTTGATAGGGACTTTAAACCGTTTGACTCGATTAAAATCGTATTAAACTACCAGAGTTGATAGGTTTAACATCCCTAATATTGTAATAATGGTCATGAGAGGAAGCTAGCACGGGTAATACTACACGTGATAAAAGGTTCCCAAATAATAAAAATATATTCATTGAATTTGCCAAAATAATTCACATTTAATGGAAGTCATTAGATAATAAAGTAAAAAAAAAAAATTATGTACAAAAATAAATTAATTGAGGGGAACTTATTTTTGAGAGATTATTTTTGATGTGCTGAGGGATGGCGATAATATGGAGGTAAAGAAAGGGATGTTAACGACGAATTTGGTATCTCAGCACCTGATGATATAGATCCCATAGGAGAAATATTTGAAGAAGTATCAGAACAGACATCACCTAAGCGCATATTTGTTGAAGGTGTTGAATAGCTACTTGGAGGTGTTTGTGGCGTATCTGAGCGAGATTGTTGAGAAGAAGGGCTATATGGTTGATAAATGTAACTTGACGTATCCGATGAAGGTTGAGCATAACCATCATATACACGGTCATAACCATTATTAACCTCAAAAGGAGAGGTTCGTTTATGGTCTAAAGATGAGTAAAACTGATCTCTATGATTATCATCAAATCGAATACCTTGCGGTAATTCAGGAAGACTACGTTGTTGACGAAGTTGATTCATCATTTGTAAGTTATGAGGCGAATAAGCAAGAGTACCAGGAGTTTGATCAAGAGATACACGTGACTGAGAGTAATCATCTGGAACACCATCAACAACAGTAGGACTTGGCATATCAGTCAAAGGAGAATAAGGACGTTTCAAAGGTGTATTCTTTTCTACTATATTAGCAATTTTAACTTGTTCTTCGACGAGAAAGCCCCTCACACAACCATAAAGACTAATATTTATAGACAACTTATAAGCTATATTAATGAATCTCCCTTGATGAGTTGGTTGAGTGGAGGGAGGGATAAAAAGGTTAATAGTGTGAGTGCATTCACCATAATTATAATGAGGCATTGAAGATTGCATAAAACGAAGTTCCGAACGCGAAACGACCAATCCAGTTATCTGTTGATCTAAATGTCGTTTTTCATTGTGATCAGAACATTGAAAGTCCATAGAGGCTTTTAAAGAAATTTCAATTCTTTCTACACCAACATCAGGTCTTAAAAATCGTAACAACATTGGAACCGAGACGAAACTACCAATATTCATTTGTTTGCCCGGAGGTAACATGAAAGTATATTCAATTCCACTTTGAGATTCACCACAGATTTTGTAAGGAGATGACATGGTGTGATCCAAAGTGAGGACGCGCTTTAGAGGACAAAGTAACTTTGCAACATGGTTACTGCTCTTACCCAATATACCTTTGACAGTAACAACAGCACGAAGGACGTGACGAACCGAACCTATATCAGTTGTTATAGATTCTGGCAAATTGTAAGGAAGTTGAATCTTGAAAGGAATATCGAGGGTTTGAATTTCAGCATAATCATCAAAAGCTTCCCATATTTTATTTGATTGGTCGACAAAAGTATATTCACCGTTATAAACAGCTTTTGTCCTAGCCTGAGATTTAAACCAAGAAGTTTTCTCTGATCCTTTAAATTCTAGAAATACATTTTTTACTAAACAACCTTTTGGATAATTTAAATGAATATTTCCAATTAGAAAGGTGTCATAATCCCCAAGAGCACCATGTTGAAAAGTGGTAGAATTTTCAGGAAAAGAAAAAGTTATGTTTTTATGAGCTTTAATATAAGAATTTGGTGGAGGTCGATTTTTAGAAGTCTCGATAGGAATGGTTGAGCTGTTGCCACTATAACTATGAATCGAGCCAACGCTGGGTGATGGCGAACGATGCATAATTTGTTTGTACAATAAAGGCGATTTTCTTTAAGAGTTTAATTACAAAGAATCAACTGAATAATCCGTGGGATAAGATAGATATTTAATTAAAGCGAACCAACTAAATTTTTAGAAATCACGCTCACAGAAACCAAAAAATTGATTTTTTGATTCTACAATAGAGGGGGGATTTGATATAAATATACAATCATACGCACTTTAACTAAGTTGTACAAATGTGATAACGATTTACAAATTCTTTACCTTTTATAGTCATCCGCAAGTACATCATCCTTGACAATGCACAAACCGCAAAATGTTCCAAAAAGAAGATAACTTATATTTTTTGAGTGACAAATAAAAATGTGATCTAACTATAACTTAATTATCCGGATTTTAACATTTGAAATACCAATGATATCTTAGCAGTTCGAATTCCGGACGTCACTATTTTTAAAAAAAACTAATGAATGAATACAAAGAACTTTTGAAATATTGTTTAATATCCGAAGTTCATTTATATAATATATATATAGTATTTAGTTAATACATACACACAACTAATTCTCGACGTTAATCGTACAACACGTATAGCGCAATTTACAGCAACCCCTCACTTCTCCTCATACAGTATTAACTCATTATAGGCACATTAACCGGCAGAGCCACAAGGTTTAAAATAAAAATAATGTCGATTTAATGTTATAATATAAAAATGGTTTATATGGTTTATATAGTTGCTCTGAAGAAAACGCATGATACCATGTGAATTCAATGTTGTGCATATGGATGACATAATACAAACAGACCCAATAGTTTGTAACAAACAATTTATATATTTTCTCAGATTGTCGACTTAAAGTCATCGTAGTTGTCCTGCTATTGCTATACAATCTGCTATAAATATACATGTTGAATGTTAGGTTTGTATAATTGGTAAGAATTTTAAATTCTTATTTTTGATATCGATATGTATAAACAAATTGTGTTATATTAATTAACTTTATCATTATACGAAACCGTAATCGATTACCATTATAAATATATATATTTTTTGTTTTCAACACATCACCGGAACAATAAATTAGTAAAATAAGAAAATTTATCTAAATTACCTGTAGTACAAAGTTTTTGTTTTTTTTATAAAAAAAACTTCTAATTTTCTGGATTTTTAATGCGAAGGATTTATAATTTCTAAACAAGCATTACTAATTTGCTCTGGTGTAAAAATCTTAATTGGTTCTTATGGTTTAGTTTAGTTAATTCGAAAATAGAACCCAACTAGTTAAAACTTAGTTTGAATTAATTTGAAACTTAGTCTAAATAAAGTTCCTGCAGTTCTTAACATTAGTTCGATTTAAGATAAAACCATACTATATAGTTAATGTTCATACAGCGTAATATTTCTATTCTGGTTACATACATAATAGCTAATTAATTGTTAAAATAATAATAAATACAGATACGTATAAGTTTTTAACCATTTTATAAAAATTAATTTTAAGCTTTTAAATTTTATCGTTATTAGACTTTTTTAAACAATTTTTTTAAATACTATATAATTAAATTTAGGGTTTTATAATTTATCGCCGTAGCGATATGTCGCGAAGTTTCAAATTGTTCTTACAAATCATGATTTGTAAGCAAAGTTTGAAACTCCGCATATAGGACTATTAGACTGGCGATATATATATTGCTTGGCGATAAATTATAAAACCCTTAAATTTTTTGCATATCGATATAGTTAATTTAATAAAAATACTATACAAAACTTTTATCTTTTTAAGTGTTTTCTAGACAAAGCTTAAAATTTTATAATTTTTTAAATAAAATTAAATAATAATAATATATATAGAGTATATATGTTGTGCGTCAGATTAAAACCTGCATCAGATGACAATCAGGTGACCAGCATTAAATGATCGGCCTAAAAAAACTTCTAACTTTACCCTAACCCTAATCTAACTTAGGCCGGGTGTCATCTGACGCAAGGATGCACCTGAGGCACAACATATATATTTATTGTACGGGTCTTATGTAACAACCCGTGCTTTTTTCACTCATTTATTGGCACATGTTAAAAAAATAGGGAAATTACACATCGGGGCCCAAATTTGAAAATAATTATGAATAAGGGCCCAAGTTAAAAATTATTATGTATAGGGGC